GGCAGTGAGGGGGTTGGGGACTGGGTGGTTAGGGTTCGGGTTAAGTTTCGGGTTTGGGACAGTGGGTAGGACCGAGAGAGGGTTGGGCGGGTTGGGTGTTGTATCCTTGTGAGCATGGAGTGGAGTACACGGCGACTCAACCGGAAAGATGGGAAGAACACCAAGAAATGACGGAGGTGGGACGGAAGACCCTTTGTGTGTGGAGGCGTTGGAGTATGGAAACTGACTCTCGTGAAATTGGACATGACGAGAGATGTATACACGACCCGTGGAGAGATCAAAACAGCGATATCCTTTTGACAAGGAGTCGTACCCAAGGAAGACACAGGGTTTGGACCGTGGTTGAAATTTATTTGTGATTTCAGCAGATCGGCAACGCCGAATTTTTTTTTTCCCGGTTAACGCAGCGACGGAGTAGGTCGAGACGGATCTCCGCGCTCTGATACCATGTTGATTTATGAATTCACTCTTGAGGAATAATTGTGTACATGGATGTTTATATAGGTGAGGATCCCTACATGGACTAAGATTCACCAAATAAGTAAACTAACATAAATAACAATTCTACTATAACTAGACTTCTTTCCAAATATGTCTAACAAAAGGGATAAGAGTTATTCAATGAGATGTCGTTGAAAGAATTGTTCTAAGAGCTTCATATCTATAACTTGGGAGTAAGAATGTGTTGCTAGATACCGCTTATAACTTGTAGTATCTAATCAATACTATGGCCAACGTTATAAGTACCTAGAATATGGTCACACACATAGAACGTATAAAAAGCGTAGAATATTGAAATGGAGTCAAGTGGTATTTTATATATTGTGTATATTATATTATGTGACAATATCTTAGATGCACAAAAATTTATAAATGAATATATGTTTATATTTAGACATTTTTATTATATGATAATTAAGTACGTCAAATATAATTAATTAATTATATATATATATATATATATATATATATATATATATATATATATATTCAAATTTATCCCGTTTAATTCAAATAAATAAAACTACGATTAAGAGAAGGGTACTAAATTACTACGGAGTAATTTTTATATACTCCCCGTAAAATTAGTTCGAAATAAAAGGAATGATGTAGCCGAGTGTGAAGAAAGTAGAGCAGATATTCTAACACCTATGAGCTAGCTACTTTTTGAAAATCCCTATATGTACTCCCTCGATTTCTAAAAGATTTACACAATTTGATTTTTTTGATCAAACTGTGGTACCTTTTAACCATCAATTATTGAAAAAATATATTTAGTTATAATGTAAATTTAAAAAAATTGAATTTATTTTAAAATATAATTTTGAAACACTATATTTTTTAATATTTAATTATTTTAAAATATATTTAATTTAAAGTCAAAAAGTGCCAATGTTTGACTAAAAAAATCAAACTGTAGTAATCTTTTGATATTGATATAAAATATAAAAATATAATATTTTAAAAATACGTTTCGAAATAAATCTATTGGTATTAACTTTTTATCACAATTCATCAATGTATTACTCCCTCCGTCCCATGAAACCTTTCTCCTTTTCTTTTTTTATTCGTCTCACAAAACACTTCTCATTTCTATTAAAAAGTCACTTTTACCCCTTCCTTTTTCATACCTAACTATCACATCATACCTTTTTACTAATAATCTATCCATCAAATCATACTTTTACCCATCACATCAAAGGACATTTTTGGAAATTCAATACGAAAATACACTCCCTTTAAATCCCTCCTAAAAAGCAAAAGTCTCATGTTTCATGGGACAAAGGGAGTATTTTCTAAATTTGTCGGCAAAATTCAAAGCCATTTATCACAAAAAAAAGGGAGGAAGAAAGTAAGTACCACCCCACCTCTATATATATATAGCCTTAACTTTCTTTAATTTCCTCTTAGATCTCATCTAATAAAAATGCACTTTAAGGCGTTTAAGCGATCGAGTTAACTATATAGGGAAAGGGAAGTGCCAAAATCATCAAGTCAGCAACCGGGTGTCTAGCTAGCTAAAGATCGAAGTCGTCCATATCAATATATATACGCGCAGCATATATAAATATATAGAATTGGTTTGGTAGATGAAAGAAAGTGGGAGAAAGGGAGGCGTGGCAACGTCTCCGTGCGCAGCGTGCAAGCTGCTGAGGAGGAGGTGCGCCCAAGGCTGTATTTTCGCTCCTTATTTCCCTGCCGATGAGCCTAACAAGTTCGCCAGTGTGCATAAGGTTTTTGGTGCCAGCAATGTCAACAAGCTCCTTCAGGTAATTTATGCACAAAGTTGCTCCGTGTCCCCCCCTATTTTGATATTTTGAGATACTAAGTACCGGGTATCTCACATTTTGAAAATATATATTTCGAGGTATCCTTTATTTCGAGAAACTAACTACCGAGTATCTCAAATTTTTTAAATGTACTCCGGGATACCTCCAAATATATATTAATTTATCTGTGAGGAACATTACGTCTCACTCTCCATCAAAACCAGCTACGCCATTAATTTTAAGAAATAAGGGTTCGGAATTCCAAAAATAGACTTGGTTCTTATACTTTAAGGATACGATCTATCCAGTTTAATCGAAGCTTTCGAATGAAACGAAATGTCCCTCACGGGTAAGTGAATATACATTTAGAGGTACCCCAGAGTATATTTTAAAAATGTGAGTTACCCGAAACTTAACTTCTCAAAATAGAAGGTATTCCGGAGTATATTTCAAAAATATGAGGTACCCGGTAGTTAGTTTCTCAAAATAGGAGGTTAGGAGGTATCCATGTGCAGTTTTCTGTAATTTATAATTATCTATCTTCTTTTTTTTCTATTTGGATATATTATCCCAAAATTTTCTTCCTCTTTCCTCTATACAAGCCACAATCTTTTACTCATCCAAAGTATAGTAATTTCATTGTACATACCCTATACTTCAATTTGTTATTCCTTCTCTTATCATTTATAAATATTTGCACGAATTGGGTAGACTTACGCTATGTTTGGTTTATGAAGAACACAAATTTAAATTGAAAATAAGAAGAAAAAGAACAGAAATTTAAACTTTTTTTATTTAACATTGAAAATGACATGTATTTCTGATCCAAATGAAAAGATTAAAGTTAGACGAAGGGAGTACATGCTTTGTATTATTTAGAAATAATAAGCATATTTATGTTATGTGATAATATTTTTTTATCTTTAAAAACTGTTGACAAAGAATTGCATTATTTAATTTTCTATTATTTAAACATAAATATGAATATTATATTTGTTTGCCCGAGTCAATCCGGTTCAACCGGTTGACTTTTGACCCCATAACTAAATGTCGAATCTGGTTTTCAAAATATAGATCAAAAATATATACATACGGAGTATTATGTTGAATTTTGAATGTACAATAATTTAGCCCTTGCTTATGTTACGAAACAAACTGAAAATTAAATAGATCTCATAAAACTAAAATTTATTTTTCTAAATATGCCAAAAAAACTCAAATTTATTTTATTAAAATCAAAACTACCTCATAGATCTCATAAAATTAAATTTGTGATGTACTACTCTCAGATATAAGGATTTTAAACACTAACTTGCTAATTTGTTGAATAAATTTTTTTAATTGGGCTTTTATAACAGAGAATTTTCTATATTTAATCATTTATTATGAAATATAACGCACGTGGTCTTACTTTTATGGGTAACTTTCCACAAATACTATTTTTATCTTCTGTCATGTTGGTGTTAATTCAAGAGCTAAAAGTGCAATTTGACAATGATCATATATCTTTATTGCCATCATAATTCCAAAGGCTACTCATCATATTGCGTCGTTTGTAAATTGCAATCGTGGTCTATTACAATCATAGTGTATAGATGTGGTCTTTCATCGACATGCATCCTAGTCCACAAGCATCGTCATTATTTTTTTAGCGTTTGTCTAACCGATATCAGAATACGTCACTGGACATATGGTTGACGTCAAACTACATCTTTTCTCATCAAATTAACAACATGAAATAAGATCAAAAAAGAACTATTTGTGCGTGGAAAGATATCTAAAAAACAATTCAAGGACTATGATCATAATATTCAATAATAGAGGACTAAATATAAAAAACTTTATATTATAAAAAGCCAATTATGAAAGTTACTCTTATTTGTTTGTTTAACTAAGTTATCACGGTTTCAAGGATTCATTGAAGACTACTTGGTAATTACCCTTTCAAGAGACCCTAGGGCCATTATCAAGGTTTGTTTTAAAATTGTGAAATTTGCAATGAATAGGACTAAAACATACTCCCTCCGTCCCGGAGTATTCGTCCAGTTTTGACTTTTGGAATTGTTCATCTAAGCACTTTGACTCATCAAATTCTCTCAATGTGTAAGCCTAAATATAGTCATGTGTGATCTTGTTTGATTTGTCTTAACATATAGATTATTAATATATAATTTCTATAATTTTTTAATATACAAATTACAAGATAAAATGGATTAAAGAAGTGTATTGGATGGTGTGTAAAAATGAAAGCGGACAAATGCTCTGGGACGGAGGTAGTAAGTCATTTCACAATGTAGAAGTTAAACTTTNTGTTTTAAAATTGTGAAATTTGCAATGAATAGGACTAAAACATACTCCCTCCGTCCCGGAGTATTCGTCCAGTTTTGACTTTTGGAATTGTTCATCTAAGCACTTTGACTCATCAAATTCTCTCAATGTGTAAGCCTAAATATAGTCATGTGTGATCTTGTTTGATTTGTCTTAACATATAGATTATTAATATATAATTTCTATAATTTTTTAATATACAAATTACAAGATAAAATGGATTAAAGAAGTGTATTGGATGGTGTGTAAAAATGAAAGCGGACAAATGCTCTGGGACGGAGGTAGTAAGTCATTTCACAATGTAGAAGTTAAACTTTTTTACCTTCTAAATAGGTCTGAATAATAACTTGTAAAAAAAATGTCCAAGTGCTAGACATTTAGTTGAATAATGACTAATAGATAATAACCAATGGTCCTATATTGAGAAAGCCATTATGTTTCACTCCTATTTAAGTAAATTATCCTTTTAAATTACTTACTCTGTCATAGGATTTTTCATCAGATAATATATACACTCTCCATCCCTAAAAGATGTTATTGTTTTATTTTTTGCGCATCTCATAAAACACTATTATCCAACCTTAAATGCCAAAAAACTTTCAAAACAACTTCTACCTATAATTAAGGAGAAATGTGGTAAATTTTAGACAGTTTAAATGTGGGTAGAAGTGTTGTATGGAATTTGCAAAAAATGAAACAGGAACATCTTTTAGTGTCAGAGAAAGTACTTAGTTAATACTTATTTACTTATGTGAATAACTTAAAAAAAGGATGAGTCCCTGATTTTTAAAATATAATTAGTAAACTTAGCTGGTTTACACACACACACATATATATATATATATATATATAAACACAATTTGAGTAAACATACACTAGAATGTCATTAAGAACTACATTCGGACAATGAGTTAAATAAAACATGATGGAGACAATTTTGTTCAAATTAATCTCTGCATCGTAAATGCTGAGGCTTTACAAGACACCATGTTTATTAACGGTAAACATTAGCCCCCCTCTTCCGTAAAAATGTTTCACAACTTTTTTTCTCGTCCAAAAAAACTAGACTCTAGTGTAAAATATTTCAATTTTCACATCTTAATTGTCTCATAAAACATTTTAATTTCTTCTAAATGGACACAATAATTTTTTTTACTTTTCTTAAATCTAACCAAACATACTTCAACTACCTTCTACGCCCTACCCATTTTGACATTTCTCGAGACCTAGTAGCTTCAATTATTGTCGTTTTACCTTTGTCAAACTTTTACATTAACCAATTCCAAAGTCAAAACAGGAAATATTTTGCAGGACAAGAAAAGCACATTTTTTAACGTTTGAAATTGTTTTTTGTCCTTCACGCAATTTCTCTCTCCTCTACACATCACTTAGATCGAATACGGTAAAAAGGAAGAAAGACCAAAGTAGGACTAAAATATTGAAAATATACCAAAATAGGATTTTCATTTTTTATTTCCTGAAACAGGACTTAAAATGCATTTACATTACCAAACATTGTTATGTACATTACTAAAAAGTATAGTACTTTGCACATGTACAGTGCCACATTACAATTACATTACCATAGTGCGAGGTCTTATTTCGGGGAAAAAATATAAAAATCATATTTTGGTACTTTTCTCTATGTTTTAGTCCTATTTAGGATGATTTTTACAAGAAAAATTGATAACATTGACAAATTATAAACAAATACTCTTCATAAAAATGTATCCATAAAAAGGTTATGGTATTTGACGTTATATTTTAGGATACACAAATTCTCATGTATAGATGTAGAGAACAAATTAACGGGCCAAATTATTAGGAAAAATACGTATAATATCAAACAAGAGAAATTTACCTAAATAAGACTAAAACATAATGACTTTCCCAATATAAGACCATATATTTTTATTTCCTAATGTAGGACCTTTGGTCATTATCAAATAGTCATTATTCAACTAAATGTCCATCATTACTGGACATTATTCCTTCCATTAGATCATTATTATGTCCTATTTAGGGAATAAAAAAGTTTAAGTCCTACATTAGGAAAATCATTATGTTTTAGTCCTATTTGGTGCAAATTTCACTCAAACAAAACCTTATTATTATTATTTTTATTATTATTATTATTATTATTATTATTATTATTATTATTATTATTATTATTATTATTATTATTATTATTATTGCAGAGTATTTATGTAATTCTTATGCTACTTATTTAATAGAATTTTTCATGTATTCTATATATATACTCCGTATATATATATATATATATATATATATATATATATATATATATATATATAATTTTTATTATTAAGTATAACGGATTATTAGTAAATTGTATCACGAACTAATTACAAAGTCAAAACTAAAAAGGAATCAATTATACCCAAAAGTCAAACAAAGAAATCATGCCTTACAATTTCAAATTGAATATAGGCAAATGGTTCTTAATGCGTGAGGATCATGTGTTGATTGTCACATGCATGCATGGGTTTTTTCCCTAAGAGTAATAATTCTCCTTTGTCAAAGTAGATAAAATGTGGATCTCAATTAAATAATTATATTAATTTATATTACTATAACAAGAATTTTATTAGTTTAATTTTCGAAGTATTTTTTATTGTGTTAATATGAAATAAGTTAAAGTAACTAATATC